CGGCATCGGCGGCGCGCGTGCCGCAGACGCCAGGCACGCGGTCCGATGAGGCCGCCAACGGCCAGCCCGTCACGCCGGGCGTGGGTGTGGGCATGGGAGCGGCCAACGGCAACGGCACAGGCGGCGGCAGCGGCTTCATGAACAAGTTCCGCTTCGGCAAGAAGCAGGCGGACAAGGCGGATGCGGGCGTGGACTCGGCGGACGACGCCAAAAAGAAGGCGGCCGAGGCGGCGGCGGAAGCGAGCGAGGAGTCGCAGCGCGTCGTGACGCACGCGCAGCGTCTCGAAGAGCTGTTCAGCAAAGCTCTCACGCCGGCGTCGCTCGACGAAATGCCGCGGCTGCCGCTGCCGCCCGACACGGCGGTGATCATCTCGCAGTCGTCGGCCGACGCCGGCTCGTGGGAGGCCGTATACCGCGGCCTGGTGAGCTGCACGGGCGACGACGCCGAGGTGCTTGAACGCACCGCGCCGCTGTGGCTGCTCGAGTGTCTGCTGAACAATACCGTGGTCGCGCGCGAGCCAGTGAAGCTCAGCTTTACGCTCACACCCTGGCGGCCGGCGGGCGCGGACGGGTTTGGCGGGTACGGACTGGGAGTGGAGCAGCCGATGCCCGAGATGCCCACGGGCAATGCGCGCTTGACGGCGACGCGCTGCCTGCGGGCCAAGAAGGCGTGCTCGTACGTTGCGGAGAAGCTCGAGCTGGGCAGCCCGCGCAGTCGGACGGCGAGCATCAATGCGAGTACGCGCTCGAGCGTCGATGCGGCCGCGGGCGCGCCTGGGCTGGGCATGACCAAGAGCGCCGATGCGGCAGGCACGCACCACGACAGCGCCGGTATGGGCGCAGAGCTCGCCCCGCACGAGATGATCGAGATCCTGTGCAACGATGTCGTGCTGCCCGTCGACGTGACGCTGGCGCAGTGCCAGCGATTCTACTGGCGTGCAGGCGGCGACATCAAGCTCGAGTACAGGAGCAAACGAAGCGAGTAGCGCTCAATTTTCATTTCGATCCCACCTTTGGCCGGCGGCGGGTCTGAGCGTGTGTGCGGGGGTCGTGAGAGAGGTTCAGGGTCCAGTTGGTGGGGGTGGGGTGGCGCGCGTGGTGGGGATTTTTTTGAGAAGAAACGCGTCGATGGTCAGATGGCCATCGAGTTGACAGGTTGGCGACCGACCACATCATTTTGGACGGGACCATCGGCAGGTTGGGGCGACGGCGATGCGCAACTTGGTGCTGACAGCGCGGCGCGCTGGTGTGCAGGCATGCTGTGCGGGTCCATCGCGCCTGGCATTGTCCACTGTGCGGCGTGCATCGACGAGGGCCGAGGCGAAACCGAAACGACGAACCACGGTGGCCTACTCTTCGATCCCCGACCAGGCGCTCGGATCGGACGGTGAGCCTCTGCCACCGCTGGACGCCATCACACCGCACCCGGTTCGAAAGCGCGTCTCGAAGCGCAAACCGAAATCGGCCACCACCACCGCCACCCCGAACGCAGGCGCAGAGGATGCAGAGGAGGCGGTTCGGTGGCCGCCGCTCGCCCAGTCGGTGCGCGACGACATGGCGCGCTTCCCGCACACGATCCTGCTCACGCGCGTCGGCGGCTTCTACGAGTCGTACTTCGACCAGGCCCCCTCGCTCGCGTCGATGCTGGGGATCAAGCTGGCGAACCGTCGGTGGGGCGGTCAGGACGTCCCCATGGCAGGCTTCCCGATCTTCCAGCTCGAAAAGTATCTCAAGATCCTCGTGCTCGACCACGGCCTGCTGGTGGCCATAGCCGAGGAGTTCAGATCGACAGAGGGCAATGCGGTCGAGATCGCACGCAGGGTCAACCGCATCGTGAGCCCGGGCACGCTGATCGACGAAAAGTTCCTCGACCCGTTCGTCAACAACTTTATCGTCGGCATCAGCGCCTCCAACGGCAGGTTTGGGCTTGCCTGGCTGGACGTGGGCACGGCTGACTTTAATTCGGCCGTGTGCGGCGACTTCAACACGCTCCGGGACGAGATCGCGCGCATCGGACCGCGCGAGGTCGTCATCGATGCAGGCACCATCCACGCCCTCGAGGGCACATCTTCCACAGCTGGGGATGGCCGCGAGTGCATCGATGTTCGAGAGCTTGTCCCCGACCCGAGCGTGTACATCTCGCACTTTACGCCCACATCAACACCGGACTCGGAGGACGCTGGGGTGGCGGGGCTGGATGCGCTCGAGCGGGGGACGGTGCAGGTGTTGCTGGGCTACCTGCGCACGCGGCTGCTGGACTCCGATTCGTCGCTCGATGCCCTCACGCACGCGCGGCCGCTGCACCAGCGGCTCGATTCGGCCATGCAGATCGATGCACACACGCTCGCCGCGCTCGAGATCAAAGAGGGTGCGCGCGAGGGCGGCCTGCGCGGCTCGTTGTTCAGCGTGCTTCGTCGAACCGTCACGCGCGGCGGGACGCGGCTGCTGCAACAATGGCTCTGCCACCCCTCGACGTCGGTAGGCACGATCGAGGCGCGGCTGGACATGGTCGAGATGCTGCTGCACCAGCGCGGGCTGCGCGAAGACCTGCGCACCACCCTCCGCACGGGCGCGGGCGATACCACGCGCGTGCTCCAAAAGCTCGCAGCGAGGCGCAACGACGAACAGGACCTGCTGGAGCTGCGCGATGCCATCAAGACCACCACGCGCGTCACGCGGCTCCTGCACGCCGAGCGCGCCCATGCGCCCAGAGCGGCAGCGACGCTGCAAATGTGGGGGGAAAAGTTTACGGATCTCGGCGAGCTGGCCACGAAGCTGGGGGATGCGATTGACGAGCGCGTGATCGAGCAGCGGCTGGCGCGACAGCAGGAGATGGCCAACGACGTGCAGGACGTTGCGGCCGAAACGACGCGCGCCAAGATCCGCAGCCTGGCCGGTCGCAAAGCATCCCAGTCAGGCGAGGAGGAGTTGTGGGGCGACGAGTTCGAACACCTCATCCGACCGGCGTCGTCCAAGATGCTGGGTAGCCTCACGCGCACGCATCGGCAGCTGCGTCGCGCCGCACGCCAGCTCGAGGTGCAGTTCCAGCAGGCGTATGGCGGCGACCACGTGTCGCTGCGCCACGTCATGGGTCAGGGCTACGTGGTCCACTCGCGCGGCAAAGCTCTCTCGGCGCCAGCATTTCACGACGGAGCGGAGGATGTGAGCGTGCACATCGCGGGCAAGAACCGGTCGACGCACACGTACTACGCGGCCGCATGGACGGCGCTCGGCTCGCGCCTGGATGCGCTGGCGAAAGAGATGCAGGCGGTGGAAGCGGTGGAGCTCGAAACGCTGCGTCAGACGGTACTCGTTCAAGCCTCGGCCCTGCGTCAGAACGCCGCGCTGCTCGACCAACTCGACGTGTTGCACTCCTTCGCACAGGCTGCCGAGGAGTACAACCTCGTCCGACCGAGCCTGGACACTTCCACCTCGCTCACCGTTCGGGGCGCGCGCCATTTGTCCGTCGAAATAGGCCTGCTGGAACGAGGTCGACTCTTTACGCCCAACGATCTGTCTCTGGACGCGGATGAGCGCGTGCAGGTGATCACCGGACCCAACATGGGCGGCAAATCCACCTTCCTACGCTCCATCGCACTGCTCACCATCCTTGCCCAGAGCGGATGCTTTGTCCCCTGCCAATCCATGCACCTCGGTCTGGTCGACCGCATCTTCTCGCGCATCGGCGCCAACGACGACCTCTTCCGCGACAAGAGCACCTTCATGGTCGAAATGTCCGAGGTCGGCGAGATACTCCACCGCGCCACGCCTCGCAGCCTCGTCATCGCCGACGAAATCGGCCGCGGCACAACCAATCTCACCGGCATCGCTGTTGGATTTGCAACACTGGCCACCCTCGTAGAGAGGGGGTGTAGGACCTTGTTCGCTACGCACTTTCACGAAATCACCGACCTGGTGGCCGAAAATACCGACCCGGCGTTCGCAGCCGTCAGCTTCTACGCTTCCGACGTCGAACAACACGACGCCGGCTTGGTCTACAGCCATACACTCCGACGCGGCGTCAACCGCAAGAGCTACGGCATCCAGGTCGCTCGCATCGCCAACGTGCCCCAACCCACACTGGAGCTCGCCCAATCCACGCTTGCCCGTCTCGAGTCATCGCACCACACATAGAACCGCCGAAAGAGTTGCAATTGTCGACTGCGCACGTCCTTCTAGCTCAGCTGCACCTTTTCCACACCGGCACGTGCGGCCTCGGTGGGATCAGCGTTCTTCTTGGCCGCCTTGGCCGCCGCCTTGGCCTGCTCCTCCTTGTCTCTGTTGGCCTGCGCCTCCTCCTCGGTCTCGGCAGTACCGCCTTCCTCCTTGGTGTAGAGATGCGCAAAGCGCGGGTTGATCTTCTTCTCCTTCTTCTTCTTGACCACGGGCGTGTCTTCTGGGTAGGCGTCCTCCTTGGCCTTCTTGAACTCGGCGTCGGTCTCAAACAGCTTCTGCACGGGCTCGAGCAGCGTGGTGATCGCCTCGGCCACGGCCTTCTTGAGATCGGCGGGGTGGATCGCACCCTCGACATAGTCCTTCTCGAGTGCGGCGTACGACGAGTAGTGGAGCGAGCCGCCGTACTTTTCGGGCCTCACGATGCTGAACATGGATCCCTTGGGAGCGTCGGATGCGACAAAGGAGCGCGAGGCACCCTGCGACTCCTGGACGGGCGTGCCCATGGCTTCCGACTCGACGCGCAGGCGTGCAATGGGGAAGAGCACGGCGCGCACAAAGCCGAGCACACCGTTGCCCTCCACCTCGCCGGGCGCACAGACGGCATCGGCGATCTTCTTGGACACCTCCTTGGGCGTGTCGAGAAAGTCGATCTTGGACGAGTTGTCCGAGGAGCTCATCTTGGAGCCCTTGAGGCCGGGCACCATGGCGTTCATGAGATGCGCGCGCTTCTTGTAACCGAGCTTGGGCAGGTACTGCTCTGCAAACGTAAAGATCTTGCGCTGGTCCACACCGCCGAACTGCATGTCGACGCCGAGGTACTGCTCATCGAGCGCCTGCAATCCCGGGTAGAGCAGACCGGAGAGCAGCGGCGAGGCGACCTGCTTGACCACCTCGGCACCGGCCTTCTTTGCGTCGTGTTCGGTGACCGAGGCGCAGAGGCGGTAGTTGTCCATGTTGTAGGCCTCGGTGAGCTGGTAGCTGGAGCCAACGACGAACACGAGGCGGTCGGTAGGCACGCCGATCGCCCGGAAGACAGCGGTGAGCACGTGTCGGTAGTAGTTGACGCGGTGACGCACGAGCTCGATGGGCGCCTTGAGGTTGTCGAGGAAGGCGTGGATGTCGGCAAGGAGGATCTTGACCTCGACGCCGGCGCGGAGGAAGTCGGCGATCTTGGTGAGGGGCACGAGGTAGCCGACGTGCGGACGGCCGGTGGGCGCGGTGCCCCAGTAGGCCGAGGGCGGACGCTCGTCCTTTTCGAGGACGGCCTTGATGATATCGGCGCCGAGCACCTCGTCGAGGTCGCGCGAGATGAGCTCGAAGCGCTCGGTGGCGGAGAGCTTTGCTTGGGACGACATGGTGCTGTGTGTAAGCCTAGCTCGAGCAGCAGCAGCCTAGGTTCAGATGGAGCGTGGACGAGAGGAGGTGAAGTGCAAGAGCTGCGCCCAAAAAATAGCGCTCGCAGGAAGAAGCTCGAGCCTGGCTAGGCGGGTGTGGTCTGACTCGCCAAAGTCGGAGGTGTGTAATGCTTAGTAATAAGCTCCACCTGGCGACTTGCGCTTTCTCAACGCGAGCTTTTTTGAAACCAACACCTGGCCTTGATGGTCGCTGGCGGCGCTGCGGTCTCGAGACCGGCTAAATGGTCGGTGGCGGTCTATGCGTCGTCCGAGCTCCGAACCTAGCTGTCGTCGTGACGATGGCACAAGCGAGTTAAAATGGGCCATCGCGAGGTGCAGGAGGAGCCGGAAGGGTAGTCCGCCGGAGCCTCGGTCGGAGCTCGGTGTCGGATCTCGGGCAAACCCTCTCTGCTGGCTGTGCACGGCCGTGGCTGGCGGTGAGGATGCGGGGGCGCCTTGATGTCCGTGGACGAGGCTGATGGGTCTTGGCATTCTCACCTGCCGCGGATCTGAGCCCAAGTTGCCGGATACACGTGTAGCTGGCGAGACCGTCTTGCTTCCATTGCACTGGAAGCATTTAAATAGAGCCACGCTCCTGCCCTCCCTCTGCCTCTCGGTCAGGACAGTGCCGCATCGCTTTCCGCCACTTTTGCTGCTCAGACAACGGCACACATGTCGGCCACTTCGAAACTCTTCGACGAGATCGACCGCAAGTATGGCGACAAGGTCAAGGAGATGGGCGAGGAGCAAAAGATGCTCGTCGGGCTGCCGTACCTGGCCAACACGGAGGACCTGATCCGTGCGCGCGTCAAGGCGCGTCGTCTGCAGATCGAGTACAACAAGACGCAGCCCACGTCGGCGCTCGACGGCGCTTCCGGGGCGGCGCTGACCGAGGGGCAGAACCTCATGTCGGAGGATCGCAAGCGTCTGCTGTCGGAGCTGCTCGAGCTGCCGCCAGAGCAGGTGGCCAGGGTGGAGATCGAGCCGCCGCTGTGGTGCGACTACGGCACCAACATCAAGCCCGAGGGCGCGTTCTACGCCAACTACAACACCACCATCCTCGACTGCTCCGAGGTGCGTCTGGGCGACGGCGTGCTGTTCGGCCCCAACGTCAGCATCTACTGCGGCACCCACTCGGTCTCGGTCAAGGAGCGCAAGGAGGGACTCGAGCGAAGTCTGCCCGTAGCCATCGGAAGGGACACCTGGGTGGGCGGAGGATCGATCATCATGGCCGGCGTGACAATCGGACAGGGATGCACCATTGGAGCTGGCAGTGTGGTGACGCGCAGCATCCCCGACTGGAGCGTCGCTGCTGGCTCGCCCTGCCGCGTGCTCAGGACACTCACCGAAGAAGAGCGCGCCTAAGAAGCAAAGCAGCTCGATTCACAGCATCCGAATAATTTAGACCTGCAGATGAAGCAATCATGAAAGGAGGATCCAACCCACGAAGCACCATTGTAGAAGTGTGACTGAAACGCTGGCCTCTCCATCCCACGTCCGTGCGTTGTTGCCATTCGGAAGCGGCCGAAGCCGTGGGAATGGCGAATATGGCGAAGCGTGTCGGAGCCCAGGATCGTCTGCTTTAACTTATTCGTGCAATTCGGACGAGCCGTGCATCGCGAGTCGTATTTCTCTCCAATCACGCACTCGCCTCTCCCTCCCTCTATCCTCCAATCACCACACCCACGCTGATCCACGCCGCAGCACACGGACCTGGATCCTACCTCGGTGCTGTGCTCTCGGCCGCCATGCTCTGCTAGACAGCTGCTGGATCTGCGGTTTCCCCTTCCTGCTTAACACCGCTCACAGGACGCACCCAGCATGGCCACTTCCACACCAGCAGGCAGCTCGGCCGCGGCCATGGCCACCACCACGCCCTCGCCGCTCGCCATCCTCTCCAACACCACGCCTCGTGGCAGCTCCATCGCACTCTCCTCGCTTCAAGCGCTGCCAGAGACCCAGCTCGTGCTCGTCCTGCTCGATCATCCCACCATTCGTCGCAAGTGGCGCGCCGTCGTCGTGCCCCTCATCGAATCCATATCCAAAAAGCTCAATACGCTCTACCCGGGCTCGCGCCTCACCATTGCTTCCATCGTCTACCGCCCCAGCCTCGACAAGTCTCTCCTCCGCCCCGCCTGGACCCTCAGCCGCACCAGCCTCCAACCAGGCACCAAGCTCATCGCCTCCAATCTACATGCTCCCGAGCCATGGCTAGGACCACACCGATCATCGTCATCACCATCTCTCGCCGCCAGCAGTGCTTCCGATCTCGATCCAGCAGCGTCCGTCTTTGCCTCCATCGACGGCAGGTTTACCGCCAGACCCACCGCCCACATCCTCGAAGCCTTTGTTGCTGCCCTCGAGGCGCTTCAACCGTCGGAAAGCGGCATACACAACCCGCTCCTCCCCAAAAAGCCGCTTGTCCTGGCTCGCCACATGCTCCATGTCTGTCTGGACTCGACAGACGTCGCGCTCGATCTCTCCTCCCCACCCTTCTTCAACGCAGACGCCGCAAACGATCGCATCAATGCACCCACCGTCGGCGCAAAACTCGCCCGTCTGGGCGTCTCCATCACCAGCTGCGCGGTCAAAACGGATTCGGCGGCCGCAGCTACGCCTCCCACCTCCAAAGAAGCTCTCGCCGCCATCTTGGGCTTCCACAAAAGCGTCTCCGAGCCCAACAAGCTCGCTAACGAGGACCTGGCGGCGCTGCTCCCAGAGGCCGTGCGCGCCAAGATCTTCAGCGACGCAAACATCATCTCCACCGGCCTCACCCCTTCCTCGGCTCAGCGCGCCGCTGCCTCCACTCAGCCATCCTCGGCAGCATCAGTCTCGGCCAAGAGAGCCAGAGACGATGAAGCCGACTCCACCCCGACACCCGTCAAGAGGTCCAAGTCCGGCAGCATCTCGCAGCCTCAACCGACCTCATCGGCGCCTGCGCCCACCTCGGCATCCACAGCACCGGGAGCTTCGGCAGCCGAGCTCCCGCGCAACATCAAGCTCGACCCCAGCGTCAGCACCAAGGTCCTCTTCCTCCGCTCCCAGCAGGAGGCCATGATCAAGAATTGGGCCGCCGCCTACGCCACCGTCACCAAGGCAGAGGCCGCAGGCGAGCCCGCTTCGCCAACAAAGGCGCCCGGTATGAACAAGGCCTACCTCGACCAGCTCAAGGCGCAGCTTCTGACCCAGCAGCAGGCGCTCAAGATGCTCGTCCACCGCATCATCAGCGGCGCAGAGACCGTGCCCAACTTTAACGTCTGCCTCCAAAGCCTCATCAACATCGACAAGGAGGCGCGCGACATGGGCGTCATCCTCGGCGGGCCAAGCGGCGGCGGCGCTGCCCTTGGCCGGCCCGGTCGCAGCTCAAGTATCACCGGCGGTCAGCCCGGACTCGCTCAGCAGCCGCTGCAAGCCGCCCAACCAGCAGCAAAGGCGGCGATACCTGCCGCTCTGCCATTGCAAGGCCCAGCTGCAGCCGAGCCAGCACCAACAGCGGCAGTCGCAGCCGCGCACGCCGCTGCCCCTCCAGCAAGCCCCACGCGGCCCAAGCCCTTCTGGCGCGGC